GTTTCAGCACTGGTTAGTTCTCACCACAGTTTTAAAAAACGCTAAAAAAGTCGGCGTGGTGCGGAGGGGGAAGAGGGGAGACAGACAACACACACAGCTTCGCGGTCAGACAGTTTCATTTCGCTCCCATCGAGTTAAAAACACAAATGCACAGCCATTTGCACTCTGCATCGGAATCATATATATGAACGCAGTGTTGCACCTCTGAGAACTTTTAAGGCTTATTCTGTGGCGTTTATATAAGCCTTTTTGACGGGTTGTGTCACAGAGCTGTAAAATGGTTATGCTCACCAAGTGAATGAATCGCGTTTGTGCCAAACTCTTATTACAAAGCAAAAACAAACACTCTTCTTCGATCCATGAACGTTTCTCTCAGTTAATGTGCGCGATGTCATCTCAAATAATGATTGGCGAAACATTCATGCATTTAAGGGTTAAGCGAAGCATCTCATAGGATAAGAACACGCAGTCTCATGAATAATTTAATAGACACCAACACGTCATCGATGTACAATAGTCCATTGCCACATCGCAAATTGTGAGGTCAACACAATGTAGATTTTAAACCCGGAAGATGAAAATAGCTCAGAAAAGCTTAAAATTAACCAGTTTTCTCCAACAGTTAAAATCATCGGATGCTAACATTGTCTTCTATGATGTGCAACACAAACACCTCTGCTAAAATCTCAGAAAAGGTAGTCTGGGGTTTCATGACTCTTTAAAGCAGCATGCATGAAAACCGTATGTTTTTGCTTCCACTCGAAATAGGCATTTTCAAAATGATATAATAAATGATCTGTGGGGTATTTTGAGCTGAAACTTCACAGACACATTTTGGGGACACCTGAAACTTATATTACATATAAAAAGGAGCATAATATGTCTTCTTTAATATGAAATTGAAAACACATTTGTCAAGTTTTCTAGACCTGCCTGAATATATTGCTGTCCAATTAAAAAGAAGATACAATATTATTTGTCTCTTAATACATCAAATAACACTTTCATAAAAAGACACCCAAAGTTTCATTTTATATTAGGAAAAAATACAGCTGCCATGTATCACTTACTGTATTGTCTGCATAAGCTGTTGGTGCTTTGACCGTAATAATTGTGGATGTGGTTGTTATAGATTTATATACTTGCTATAGATTATTATTTTTAAGGGAAATCTTTTATCCATTATAGGTTTAAAACCATGTAATTTTGTGTCCGTTGTTGTCAGTGGTGGAGGTAACGAATTACAACTACTCATGTTACTGTAAATAAGTAGTTTTTTTCGGGTACTTGTACTTTTTTGAGTATATTTTTAAAGCTGTACTTGTACTTAAATACAAATTAAGCAAAATAATCTACTTCGTTACATTTAAATCATAGTTCGTTACTGAGTACGCCCATAATTTGAATTGATATTCAAACCTTTGACGGCACTTCAGTAGCCAATAAAGATATCCGATCGTGAAGGGACCAATAACAGCCCTGATATCTGAACCGGGAAAAGCGCCGCTGCAGCAGGTGAAGAGCTGATCGGATAGTGAGGGAGCTCAGCGTAATTTATGGACTCAACGTTTGGAGAAACAAACTACATGGTAGAGTTATCATAAATATCTATATTTTGATACCGATATTGAAATATCTGACACGGTTCCATTACTCATTTCCCACAGTATCTACCGAATATACACCGATACAAGCTGCGTCTCTCTTTCCTCTCCGAGGGTGAGTTTGACACGCATCCGCCTCCTGTCAATTACAGTCTGAATTGCAGGTATTCCGCATAATTGTAATAATTCCCGCGCAAATAGCGAGCGCTTTATTGTAACATGAGAACACAGTCATGTAATCGCAGAAAACTGGATGCGAGCTCTCAAATAGGCCTAATTTATACTAATTAGCTGCCTGTCCTTTCACTCTCACGACATTGCTTGTGCGGACTCAGACTGTGTGCAATCGCGATCTCTCCGTGCTTTTAAAGTAGAAATTATTTATCTTTGCTCCTGGGTCAAAAGTTATAGATCCACGCCTGACCGATTAAAGTCCTACTGGAAATGTTATTGGCTGTAAGTGAAATGCACCAGAAAGTCTTTCAACAATCAAAGATGGAACTTTAATTCCTTTACAATGTAAGTTTATGCTAGAAATGTTTTGGAATGGGATATTTGTCTGATTTGTACATATAAATATCCTAGTCTGCCTAACTGCATCACTACATTGTACAGACATTACAGGTCAAAGCCATCTGATGTTCCATTTATCTAAATAAATAGGCCTAACATATATGGCTCTTAAATCACTACTTATAAAAAAAATCAGTTTTGTCATGTTTTGAACACCTCAAACTGAATTGAGGTAATTTGTTTTATAATTTTATTACTGGCTGTGTACTTGTCTTTTTTTGTAAAGTCAATTCAGTTTGAAATCAAACTTCCTTGTGCTGTAAGCCTTTGCAACAAAGTTACCCTATTTTAAAGACACAAATACACAGAATTAGCAGATGTTTAAGATTGAGATTTTTGTAATGGTAATTGATCATTATTTATATGTATGTAAATAAAAGCCTATATTAAATCTGTTCATCATATAAAGCGAATGTGTCTTTTTAGAAGACTTGGATTAAACCACTTAAAGCTTGAAATAATGATTGCCTTGGGGGAAAAAAATGCTTTTAATGATTTTTAAGGGAGTTTGTAAATGTGATATTGATTTAATACAATACAATCAATAAACAAGAAGTTAATATTAAATGACTTACATTGTCTGACTATAACACTATTGTCTGATTTTGCTCTATTTCGTCTAGACACAGCGGAGCCGCTGCGCATCTCCATTCAAACACAGTTTCGTTTATGAATGAACGGGCGTTTTTAAACGAATTTAGTGAGTCAGTGATTCATGATTACCCATTCATAAAGACAGTCACTTGATTCATTCCTGAATGAATCAGCTGTTCGAACAAATCAATTTAATGAATGATTCAGTGATAAAAATCAGTGACTTGCCGCCACCTGCTGGCAGTTTTAGTTGGTTGTTTAAAGTATCTTTTCAGTTATTTAAATCATTTAATAGTTCTATATTAAAAAATTTATATTTAAAACATTAATCTCATCATGAATTTATGGATTTAATTGCACTCATTCCACTTCTGAGCCTCATTAAATGTCTGAAAGTACACCAAGCCACTTTTATCACAATTAAAAGAACCAAAGACTTAAACTACTTCAGTATGTGTGCATTGAATTTATTTAATACACGAGTTTCACAATTTGAGTTGAATTACTGAAATAAATGAACTTTTCCACGACATTCTAATTTATTGAGATGCACCTGTACGTCCGATGTTAACGTGATGTGCGTGCTCTCTTTCACGTCCGCGTTCCCAACCCAGCACCGTTGGGTTATTGATCAAGACCAATTTTCAACCCAAAATTGGGTTAAAACAACCCAACGTCCTTACGCAGCGGTCTCAACACAGCGTTTTTTTGAGTGTTATTTCAGCAGTGTAACAGTACTTGTACTTGAGTACAAATTTTCAGTACTCTTTCCACCACTGGTTGTTGTTTGGGGCGAGCATGTCCAGTAGGGCTGGGTAAAAAATATCGATATCTCGATATTAATCTATTCTCATTTTTACGTAACGATATTGATTCTTAAATCCCAAGAATCGATTAATCTTGCCTGTTTTCAGTTAATGGACGGAACATTGAAGTGTACTTCCCATCCAATGAATCGCAATAAGCGTTGTGCTTTGGTACTGTTAATATGAACCAAAGTCTCAGATTTCAAATTCTGTCCAATGTATTGCAGTATTTAAACAATAAATGTCGTTTAGGCGCTGTTTAATGTGGAGTGACAGATCGCTAAATCGCCTCAGTTCAACAGACGCGGCAGCGCGAGGCGCACTTGAATGATCATCTCCTCCACATTAATACCAATTTCAGCACAAAATAAGCATGACTAAACATCCGAAGGTAAGTTAAAAGAAAGAGTACAACTTTACAAACCGTATCCTGTCTCAAGTAATCGCTCAATCAGTGTTTCAGCCACGCAAAAACGTCAATGGCTTGTAAACAATGTCACGTAACGTCACATTTACCTCAGAAAAAAAAAAACATATTCGGTGACCATAAATTAACTGTAGAGAGGGGCATTTTGCTTAATATATGCAACATATAACATATTCATTATAATTTTTTACTGTTCTTCAATGTTTAATTTGTTTGAATAAATCCATCAAGTTTTTATGACAGCCACCATTAAAATTGTTATATTTCAAAAAACTAATTGAAGTAGAAATATTATGTAACTGTAACTTTATTATTGTAAGTGTCAATGAGAATCGAATCGAATCGAATCGTGAAATTTGTGTTTTGCAGCATTAGTTGAGAGATTTTTTTTCCCTTGAAAATTTGGCATGTACTGTACCTGATATATATCCAAAATAATCGATATTGAATCGAATCGAATCTGTAATCAAATCGAATCGCAAGCTTGTCAATGAGAATCGAATCGAATCGTGAAATTTGTGTCAAAACCCAGCCCTAATGTCTAGCCATGGTGAACTGACATTTGACCTGGAACTTTGAGTGGATTTTTTTTTAAAAAGATGTTGATTCTCATTTAGAAATTTGTCATGAAATTTATCACACACTTGCGAATAATGTTTTTAACATGTAATAATGTTACTCTACGGCCCCCCGTTTAATTCGATGTTAGGCATTGAGGAGATGCTTTCTTATCTAACGTGCACATATCTTTCTTTTCTGCAGTATCTGGCCACTAGAGCATACAACAAAACTCTTCTAATAGAAAAATTATTGCAGCGGTTCTTTTGTGATGAGCTAGCAGAAAGGCGAAAAGTATATGAAGAAGAGATGAAAGAATTGTCAAAGTAAGTTGGCTATAGATATAATGGTTTTCCTAACTCTTTTCTGGTCAATATGCTATCAATGTGACATTATTATTGTATCTTGTTCATGTGTACATATCGAAAAAAATATATTTTCTTCTTGTTTCAGCTTGAACCAGGAAGTGCCCATCTTTGTTTGCACTATGGCATTTCCTACTATTCCCTGCCCACTGCATGTTTTTGAGCCTCGATACAGGCTTATGATTCGCAGATCTATGGAAACAGGAACCAGACAGTTTGGCATGTGCATTGCTGATGAACTAAAAGGGTAAGAGGCCTTGAATCAATTTAAAGTGTTGGGTCTACATCGATTTTCTTAAGGGATATCTGTTCTGTTTTGCATTTCAAAAGGTTAATACATAAAGTGACTGTTATATGTTTGTGTCTCTTTTTTATTCCAAGTTCACTACTGCAGTTGGAGTTTTGTTATTGCATTTTATTTTTTCAAAATATTAGAGAAAAATAGAAGCTTAATGCAGAGAAGATCTTGATTAGGTTAAAACCAAAACCAAGCCATTCACACAGAACGCATGTTCTGTAGATTTTCAAGATGGACAACTGTGACTGTTGCACTCGCATCTCGCACGAGATGCATACAAAAGCCATGTAAAGTTAAAAGAGGGGTTTTATTCCATTCCATTCCATTGCATCTCATATGTTTTTAAATGCAATCTGTGTGATCGGTGCTTCGGCTTTTTGCATTAAGCTATGCATAAATACCTGTTGCTGTTTTGTTCATAATGTTTATGCAATTTACAAAATTATATTTGATTTATATATATATGTAAGTTTAGACATTATGCGCTTTTTTTAGATAGTCATTTTTTCATTGCATTTAATAAACAATTTAATGCGGTGCATTATTTAGCTTATTGCGCCCTCCTGTGGACTCAGGAGATAAGCCAAAAGTTTTCTTAAAACTAATCTGCATATAAAATATAAGAAAGGAGTTTTTCTTTTTCTTTTTTGCTTTGACTGTTAAAACTATTTGTTGTTTGTTTTAATAAACTGGGTAAAATAAAAATGTGGTTAAATTTAAACCTTTTTTCCCCTATAGCTCTATGTTTAAAAAAGGTTTAAAAAAATTCAATAATTACTTATACTGAATGATACGGAACATTATATTGTGATACATTTTTTACTATATCACCCAGCCTTATTGACACACACAATTGATGATTTTTCAACTATTTGCATAAAATAGTCTACAATGTTAAAATTAATCATTTTCATAGTTTGTGTGCTTGGCCTGATAAATGCTCCATGCAGCTGCTATTATTTATTATTATTGTTATTATTATTATATTTGATATCATATGTTAGCATTTCCAATGTGTTAAATTGTTTGGAGTCGTGGCTGTAATGCCTCCTAATGTTACTGTGTCTGTGGTAGATCCTTGCAGACACCACACTCATACAGTAACAAGGTCATGCTTATAGCACAAAAATATTTGCAAGAGCTTGATTACAAGTGTTTAAAAGTTTAGTTTTTGCATTTCATAGATGGACATTAAAGTGTACATCCACAGAAGGGAATCACTTGCTCTCTTGGTTATTAGAGGATTAAAGGGATAGTTTTTACTCACCCACCCTGTATGTTGTATGACCACCTTACTGCCTAGGAACACAAAAGGAGAAATAAAAAAAAAAAATTATTTGCTCGCACTTCAGTAAATGATGACCACCTTCAAGCTTTAAAAAATTCAAAATTCATAGACTTCCGGCGGCAAGATGAGGAGGTAGTCGTGTTTCGTTTACGCGCTCACTCATTTTCATTTTATTTGCACTACACGCAAGTATACTTTGAAAAGGGATAAATTTGTCTCTACTAATACCCTGCATCTATGGTTAACCGATTTGTTTGAAAATGACAAGCAAAAACGCGAAAAAATCGACGACAAGACCGACGCGGCTCGACAGTCCCAACCTAAAGCAAGCTAGTATGGAGGCCACTACTAACAACACAAGTAACAGCCTAGCAATCTTTGACGTCAGAGGACAATACGCTTTTTCAGCTGGTTAAATCTGAACTGATATCCTCCCGCAGTCAGATGGCAGATACTATTAAAACAGAGATGGCGAGCTTTCGCTCTGAGATTGGATTGATTGTTGAAAACTTACGATCGGAGGTCAAAACCAAAATGGATGCTTTACAACTGGAGATAGCGGGGCAAATTCATTCCATACTAAGCAAACCAGTATGTCTGACACTATGGAGAAAATGGAAACAACACTCAACTCTCGCCACGACTCGCTCGAGACAATGGAAACCACAGTTTCAACTTTGAAAGATCAAATACAGAAGTTGCAAGAGCAACAACAAGACCTCGAGAATAGGAGTCGTAGCCAAAACCTGCGTATAATTGGCATACCTGAAGATGCGGAGAAGGGCCGGCCCACTGACTTCATGTCTGGATTCTTTTCAGAGGTGCTAGGTGAAGATTTACCTGACCTTCAATCAGTGGTGTTAGATCGCGCCCTAGCTCCGAAACCTTGCGCCGGCGACAGGCCCAGAGCAATGATCGTTCGTCTGCACTACTTCTCCGATAAGGCCAAGATTCTCCAAGCCTCCAGGAAGCGCGGTGAGCTTACATTTCGCGGCGCACGGGTCCATATTTTCCCTGATATGAGGGCAGAACTGAGCCGCAGAAGAGCAGCCTTTAATTCTGTGAAATTCAAGCTTAAGCAGGCTGGGATTTCTTACGGCATCCACCATCCGGCAGATTTACGGTTCACTTTCGATAACACTAGACTTTCTTTTAAGTCACCATCGGAGGCGGACGCTTACTTTGAGCAACACATCAAACCAAAAATGGATGCACTCGTCTGAATAGTTTTTCAGGACCCCCTCGATGTCCGCTACAGTGTGTTTGGTACTATGCAGGACATAAACATTTAACAGTGCTTGTTCACTGTTCACTGTTTTATAACTTTTTAAACTGGACATTATATTCATTCTGTCACTGAATTTTACTTTTTTCCCCCTCTTTCTGGACAGTGGAGACTTTTACTGGTTAAAGACTAATATGGCTTTATGAAGCTCTTTTTTGTCAATAAGACAAAACAAAATTGTGTGTTAGAAGACATTTTAAGATGTTGAGCGTTTGGAAGAAGTCCTATGCGTTTGAGAACGTTGAAGGTGTTTTTTTTATTCTCATTTGGGGAGCTGTTTGGTGGGTGGGTAGGGGTCACGGTGTTCGTTTGGCATTCAAACTTGTTCATGTTTACTTGTGCTATTGTGTACAGTTAGAAACATCTCAGAAGGAGGCTGGCATCAGTTTTTCACCCATTAAACAATGCTATAAACCTGGGACATAGCAGATTACTTGGAACGTTAAAGGGGTTAACCATATCATTAAGTGCAATAAGATCCTTAACAATTTAAAGAGACGGGAGGCAAATATTTAATTTCTCCAAGAAACTCACTTAAAATCAGCTGATCATTATAAACTACAAATCTTGGGTGGGGCAAATGTACCACTCAGATTTTCAGTCAAGATCCAGAGGAACCGCAATTCTTATTAGTAAAAACACTCCGTTCTGTGTGAGTAATGTCCAAAGTGATAGAGGGGGAAGATTTGTAATAGTAACTGGTTCATTATATAATGTTCCCTTGATATTAGCCAATATCTATGCCCCTAATTGGGACGATGTATCATTTATAAAAAATAATTCTTTACCAGTTTTTCCAATTTGACTACACATAAATTAATCCTAGGAGGAGACTTTAACTGTGTGCTCTACCCTACTTTGGATCGGTCTTCAAAAACGCTTTACAATATAACTAAATCTGCCATGTTTATGAATACTTTTTTGGAGACCTATACATTTCTGATCCCTGGCGTTTCTTATATCCAAACCTTAAGCAGTTTTTTTTTTAAGTCTTTTTTTCTCCCCAGTGCATCGTTCATATTCACAAATTGATTACTTCTTAATAGATGATAAACTGCTAACTTCTGTTACTAATTGTAAATACAACCCAGTCTCATAAAAATACGTATCTCTGGGTGCTTTTCTGCAACACCGTTTTTGTAAATATGAATCTATTGTAATTTCGGATCATAGCCCAGTTGTTTTAAAATGAGCTTTTCCCAATTCACCAGTTCAGAAGACATGGCGCTTTAATAATTTCATTCTTCTGATTCATCCTTTGTAGACCTAATTAGTAGTAGAATCGATTTTTTCTTATCTATCAATAATACCTCAGATGTTAGTAAAGCTACACTGTGGGAGTCTCTAAAAGCCTGTATTAGGGGGGAAATAATTTCATTTTCATCATGGGAGAGGAAAAAAAGAAACCAGCAACTAAATGATCTTATTAACCAAATTAAACGGTTAGACTTAAAATGTGCAATTAAGCCCTCACCTGAAATTTTTAAAGAAAGAACAAAGATACAGACAGAGATTGATCTAATAACATCCGAACAGACAGAAAGACTTTTGCTTCAATCCCGCTCTAAATTATATGAACATTCGGACAAATCTGGGAAAATTCTTGCTCAACAAATATGACGGTACTCGACTACAAATACTATAACATCCATTCGTAGGGATGATGGCAGGGTCACCAAGGATGAGTTAGAAATCAATTAGGTCTTTGAACAATTCTATAAGGCCCTGTATTCATCTGAAATTGACTATAACCCTTCCGAACTTGATTCTTTTTTTAATTCTATTCAAATGCCCCAAATCCCATCTGACGATAATGCAGAATTGGAGAAAATTCTAAATTTAGAAGAACTTAATGTAGCTCTCTCAAACAGGCAAAACTCAAAAGCTCCTGGGCCAGATGGCTTTACGGTAGAATTTTAAAAAACGTTTAAAGGTAAACTAATGCCTCTGCTACTTGCTGTACTTGAGGAATCATTCTCTACAGGCTGCCTCCCACACACATTCTATCAAGCGACAATTTCCGTTATACCTAAAAAAGGGAAAGACCCTCTGAACTGTGGCTCATTTCGGCCTATATCTTTGCTCAATGTGGATTGTAAAATATTGGCAAAGGTTTTGGCCCGAAGACTGGAGAATGTTCTCCCTAGTATTTTAGCCCCAGATCAGACTGGCTTAATTAAAAAACGATTTTCTTTTTTTAATATACGCAGAGTATTTGATATTATTTATTCTCCTGACTCAAATAAGCATATACCTGAAATTTTAATATCTCTAGACGCTGAAAAAGCCTTTGACAGAGTGGAGTGGAGCTATCTTTTCAGCCGTCTAGAGAGATTTGGTGCGAGTCCAAATTTTCTCTTATCTCTTAGAGTCCAA